ATTGCATGTTTGCATGTGTTCAAACCAATGTATTGGATGCTTAAATACTAGGTTCTAAAATACTCTCATTAGATTTTAAAAATAATTCAAACTTAACAAAAAAATTAAAATCCTGCCACCGGATTCACAATACACATGCTAACAAACAGAAGACGATAAAATACTTAAAATGAAAACTTATATGCAGTCATTCACACCAACTTTTAAGATGTGTATTTGGTTTCATCACTTTATCAAGTCTTAAAATAATATTCAATTTGAATAAAAATATCTCAAGATTTAAGTAAAGCATTCAAGATGCATTCTTTTAAGCCATATAAATTACATTAAGTTAAGTCACCAAATGATCAGCCTAAAATAGCTCAAAAACATAAATTACGCGTTTGCATGTGTTCAAACCAATGTATTTCATACTCAAATACTAGGCTCGAAAATACTACATGCGCTAATTGGGTTGACTTGCCTATAGGATAGGGTCGTAAGTCTCACTTAACTATTCTAATCCTCCTTGCAATAACTAAAGTTGACGAGTCTATTAAATTTGAAATAAATGTTCAATTCTTAAAATAGGAATTTACAAGTCCAAATCATCTAGTCTAATCCGCATACCTATAAGTATAGGAGTCGACATGACTTATACTTTGAAAGCTTAAACTAATAAAACTAAATGTCCCCCATTTAAATATAAAATTTTTAGAATACTCAATATCCTGATGATGATCGTATTGATTGAAGATTTTAACCGGAGGGATAAATCTTTAAAATCAAACTTTTCAAAATAACCAATTAATATGTAAGTAAAATTCAATCATTTAAAAGCAAAAAGCAAAGTTCATCCACCCTCCCTAACAGTTTGACGAGGGTGAAAAACATTTGGTTGACTTCAGCTCACAAAGAGTGAATGTCATATCAAATGTACAATTATATTCACAATCAAAGCAATCGCATGTCAGTAAGGACGTGGCCCTAGTCCTGTGACTATGTGGTTCAGGCGTCAAATGGCACCACAAAATAACGGTTACAACCAGAGTCCTCTAACTGGGTGGTTGCCGTCAAATAACACTACTATATTATGGTCACAACAACTACTCGTATGCTCCTCAATGAATTTTGATACTTTGAGTTGTGAATCATAAGAATACAATTGATTGGCACAATCTTTTATTAACAAAGGTCGACGTAAATTTATCCCATTAGACAAATATTCACCCCAGATCTACAAGTATACCTTGGACGACGCAACCCATGGCTGTTGACAAATTCTTCTGTCAGGTTGGGTCAACTACCTCCTCTAACTAAGTAGATCAGAGACCATTACAACCCGGAATGACGAGACCATGAGATCTTGATCAAGTTTCGTCTTCATTCTCCCACCAATCACTTTAATCTTCAAGTGATGAATTTCGTAACTAAAATCTTAAATTTGTTGCTATTATATGTTAAATATTCAATTATTAATGACAAGCCTCAATCGAAAGTACTCTTCTATTATCATAAGGGGTAATTAACCATAGGGGCGTGCGCCTATGGGAAAACTCGAACCACATATCAAAGAATTCCTTGCAAAATAAGAGTGAAATCTCCACATAATGTCTAATCTACAATTCAATCAGCTTTCTGAAAGTTTGACACTCTAAAGCTCCCTCAAAACAAAATTAAAAATAAAAAAATACTAACAGTTCTCGGGGAGCGGTCAGAATTTCGTAGTCCACACCTCGAGCCACAGTCATAGACGCCTGCTCGTCACCTTTTTCTCCTTCGAACACAATAATTCTTCCCTAAGCTACAACTCAGCTTGGTTCAATATCCGCACACAGCCTCAACTGCTCGATTTTATACAGGACGCTTGTGCCCCTCTTCATATAGGATGCTTGTGCCCCTCTTCCCGCGATCACCTGCACCAAATGTCTAGAGTTTGGCCGACTTCTTTCTCTGCACTCAGCTCGTCTACTTCCTTCGCACTGAATGTCATGAATCGCTCGTCATACTCTCTGCTCTCACACATCACAAGAGCTCTGATTGACGTCAAGGCTCAGCCCAACAGCACAACCCTCGTCAGCCCTTATTCGACTCCCAGGTAAGTAAATCTCGCCTCCGCCGCCCCTCCTACTCGTCGTTTTTATACACGAAAGTAGTCTTTCATGTTCCTGACCCCTGTCGCTTCATCTCCCCCCTCTTCGGCTTTTTGGCCCTCTCGTTTCCTTTCCCCCCGTTCGGTTCCCTCCCTTCAACTACCTTGAGACAATGAAATGAGGTGTCAGAACAATGAAGTTCATGTCTGAATCCAACCAAAATGACTCAAGAAGCACAATCAAAACTGTTATAGCACAAGCATAGGTGCTACTGTAAACTAACCCCTAAGCCATCAAATACTCAACTTGTATCTGCAATTTCTAACATTCTCATGGTCGCATCTAGTAAGCTAGTCAGTCTGGCAGCACCTCTCCTTAATTGAGATCTAAGCCATTTTGAATCACACAAAATGGTGGTAATCTGGGTGGTAGGTTGTCAATTAGAATATCATAAAACTCCTTCATTATGGGTTCTACTACCTAAAGAATCACCTCCACTGTACCACTGCCCTCCAACGTCACCAAGAACAGTTGCACTTGGGCTTTTCTCATAACATATAGAAATGAAGCATGGAACACTATAACTTCACTCCCTGTCTGAGTACTCATAATTTTTGACTCATTTCAAGAGCAAAATCACTATATAATTTTTTTCTCAATAACAAAGAGATATTTTTGTGAACCCTCATGAAGTGTATATTCATCATATTGCCATTGCTAGCCCAATAGAATGTGGCATGCATTCATAAACACAACGTCGCAACACGTCTGATCTTATAGTTCATCTCTGATAGAATACTTTACCAAACATCTCTTATAAGCACAAATCTCATTTTCATTATTCAACCAAGTCAAGGAATATAGCTAAGCATGCTTATTATAGAAGTGAGGCTAAATTTATCTATCATCTGTGTAGATATCACATTCTTGCAACCACTTTCATCTATGATGAGACTGCACTCTTTCTCTTCACAATACAACGAGTATGAAATATATTATCTTTTAAGCCACTATTGACCTCTTAAGCTTAGTCTGGAGAACTCATTGAACCACAAACATTGCACCATCATCTGTGGGCATCTAGTACTCCTCTCGTTCTCCTTTTTATAGTTCTCGCTATCTGCTTCTTTCACTGCAACATGCTCAGCAAAAAAAATTACTCATCTATTTGGACATTTAGATGCAATGTGCCCAAATCTGTAACATTTGTAGAATACGCTAATTGGAAATATCTTGAGGTGTTAATATGCTCAGTACCTTTTTTTTTCCTATGTTGACTTATCATCATGGGAAGGCCTTAGCAATCAGGTTGATATGCTCTTGTTGCCTTACCCTATGGCCAAACTCTAATTGAATGGTGAAGTGTACCTGATACTATTATTACACTTCTCCACCTTCAAGGCTATAGTCTGAACATCCGTAAAGTTCAATAGAGTGGTGACTACACCACATTGACCCTCCAAAATATCAGGCTATAGAGAGTTCTCTGACTACACCAATTAATACTTCCACAAAAGTTTTTCAAACTAAGCGGTATTTTTTTCTTCTATGAAGATACTTCTGTTGTAGGTGATGAAGTATCAAAAACAAGTCTTGTTTGTAATGTTCTTGAATGTACCTGCGCTACATCTCTTTTTTTTTAACTTGGATGAGGTTGTGATCTTAATTTTCATCTTACACTGTTACAAGTGTTTTAAATTCTCACGTCACAAAAAATTATCTTTTTTTTAACTTAATGGCAGCAATAGCTTCACTCTTCTATCAGGTCTAATGTTCTTCTACTCAAAAATTCATTTCACTATCTAAATTCACTCAATGAATTTGTTCTAATCCATATGACTATCATAATCCAATAAATAAATATTCACTCCAAGTAAACCTCCTATCCTATACTCGACACCAAATTGACGCAACATCGGCCCATCATCACTCAAGGTTTTTTGGAGAAAATATTTTTCATCATCTTCTCAATCTGGGTGATCACAGTTGTTGTCATGGGTGACTTCACCATGTTGCCTCCCAAAATCAACAAGTCTCCCTTGTAATTGAACGGTTTTCGACTACATATCTTTTGTGGTAAGCCCTTAAATTTTCTTTGGGGGTTTCTCTTTGGATTGTTTATTTCCTTTAGGGTTTAGACCAAGGTGGAATTTTTTTATCCAAGGTTGGTCGAAAGTTAGGCTTAGGTTTAGGTGGAAGGTATGGGTATGGGTTGTGGACAAGGGTTGGGATTTTGTGGGAAAAAGTAGGGTTTAAAAGCTCTAATATAAAATGACACCGTACGGTGTATATGGATCAAGGGAAGAGAAGAATTAGGATTATTGTAGGTTGAGAGTAGATGGAAAAACACCTGAAGTGAGGGTGTTTAGGAAAGAAACGGAAAGCCAGACCATCTGTCATGGGTGAAAACACCATGGAAAAGGTTGTCGGCAAGCATTCAAAGGTATTCAAAAATCTAGAAGGTCTGCCGCCAGTCCTCCATCCAATTACAGTCACAAGAGAAGACGGTACAGCGCTCCAAGCAGAGAGAAAAACAAATAAATAGTTTCCAATAACATTAAACAAACCAAATGTCCCCCAATCAGTCCACAAACAAAAATATATACAATTTTTAAGCAAGTTAACCAAATACTAGTGCTAAATAAGGACAAAAGATAATCCCAAAGCTACCAGCCAGCACTGGATGCTGAATCTGCTGAAACAAACAGTGAACCAAACAGGAAAACTGAACTGAAATTTGAATTCAAATAAATCAGTAAAGCAAGTGCAAAAAGAAAACAATTATCATGCTTGTCATAATCAAAGTTGAATCGCTTTTTCGAACAGATAAAAATAAACAAGCATCTTCCCTTAGCAATCAAAAGTTTGAAATTCATTTAGACAAAACATACTTACAAAATATGTAGGAAGCGTAGGGAAATAGAATACCTGGGCAAGGATGTTATATGAGACAAAGCGGAATCTGAATCCTGATTAAAAAAAAGTAATAGGTATGTAAGGACTGAGCGAGGGAAAAAAAAAGGTAAAAGAGACCATAATTTTTTTCTATTTTACACTTGGTAATCAGTCATTCTCTATAATAATAAAAACTGTCATGTTATGCAAGGGAAGCTAATGGCAGAGAATGACCGTATAAAGCTACCCAATCCAAAACAAAGGATGCAAAAACGATGGTAATTCTAATATTCTTAGTAAATTTGAAAGAAGATTCAAAACATTTCAAATGTATTCTTGATGCATCTCTTTAAAAGTTTCATATAACAGTTTACTAACAAAAATTAAAAGTACCATTGGGCAGAATAATGATCTAGACCAGCATCCCATAGCAAATCATTTAAGTTCAAAAAAGGTAGAGCATTTATTATTCTATAACATGTCGAATTGGCATCATGTAACAGATTAAATTTTCTCAATCCCTTCTGCACAATATTGAAACTTTTCATGAGATTGTTCTACTGTTATAAGTTAAAGTAAGTCAAAAAAGAAGAATATTTCAAACCATAGTTCATGCAAATCTTCGAATTGTTAGGTATTTTCAAAAAGCAACATGATGCACAGCTACTCTTTTGGTTTCAATGCCCAAAGTTAAACCTAAAATAATGCTTCTTCTCACTAAAGCGTTCAAGATTTGTATATCATTTATATACATTTTTTGTACATATAACACCCATTTAATTAACCCAAAAATCACAATAGATAATATTTTTCAGAATATATGCTATAACAAAAATAAAGCATGGCTTATTTATTAAATAGCTTTAAATTATATATATAATTCAGAAATGGAAAATAAATGCATAATTTGAAGATGATCTTCACGTTGGACCACAATGTATGGCATCAGCTCGACCAAGATAGCATTTGGTCACCCAAGGGAGTATCATGGTTGATCAAAAAAAAAATTTAATTGGCTAGGAAGACTTTTTACTCGACCATGCCAGTAAACATAATCGAGAGGTTTAAATTGAAAGGTCGCAAAAGAGAGAGCTCCAAAATTGAGAGGTTGCAAGATAGTGAGGTCAAGAGTCCCAAACTAAAGAGCTGTAAGAGTGAGAGGTTGATGTTGGAGGAAGGAGAGTTTGAGACCAAGTGGTGGTGGTTTCAAGTTTTGAAAGCCAAAGACCATCGGAAGAAGAGTTTTGTCAGTTCCCTGGTATCATAAGGATGCATGTACCATCAATAAAAGCTGAAATTATGAAGTTCAAGCTGGCATAGTGTGTGTGCATGTTTAGCACATCATGCAATGACTAACGGAATACTAAGGGTATATTTGGGATCAATTTTATTTTTAGGTTATGTTTTTATTTTTATTTTTTGTTTTAAAAACAAGTCTATTTAGTGTGTTTTTTATATGCTTTATTTTTTATTTCTAAAAATAAATAAATATATTTTTTTAAAACACTCAAAAGAAAAGCAAGCATATCTTTATTAAACATACCAAATATGATTCGTTTCAAATCAAAACATAAACAAAATAAAATAATAATAATAAATAGAAAATCAATAACAAAAGTGATCCCAAATGGTCACTACGATGTTGGATCCTCAATTGTCGGTGAACTCACAACACCCAAACAAACGTACTTCTGAAAAGGAAGATAATTGTAGGGAGAGAAGCCTTGAGACTTTGTTGATTGAGAGTACAAATTACAAAATTTAATTACATGCCCCAAACTTCAACATCAGCCTCTTATTTATAGGCTTGGGCTGATATCCATTATGCTATATAGATGGGTAGATGGGTATATTTATATTTTATAAAACAAAATAAAATACAGCGATCATGCAGTGCAATGTATTGCATAATAAGCACCTGGACAATGAAGCTATCTTCCAAATTGAAGTTTGTGTGCCTACGCATGTCGAACCAAGCTGCAGTTTGTCACTATTGAGTTGACGTCTGTCAATACTGAGTTGATGTTTGCCACTACCAAATTCTTATGTATTTGTTCATCACTTGTGTTGACGAATATTTGTTTGTCACTAAGATTGACGAGTGGCTGATCATCACTTAATAAAGTCATCTATAAGGCAGGCGTGGTGACTTTACTGAATTGACTTGGTCAATTCATCAGCTAGGCAGGATTGACTTGCAAAATATGCTGATTTAAGTTCAGTGCTCCAAGCATTCAGGGGAAATACCATCTTGAATTCTGCCATCAGGTTATTCGGTTATACATGCAACGTGTCCAGTCGCCTAGCCTTTGTACATCAAAGCAACAAGATGAGAAATTATAACGCATCACTTCAAAAGTTTTTTTCAAAATCCAAACACTTCTTACATTATATCACAATAAGTTGTAGTGGGGATAGGGTGGCTGGTCTTCTTTTAAGAAAAAAAATCCCAACACAGTTCTACCAGCTTAGTCACTTACAGATATTTTATAAGTGGGATCATCATTCTGAAAATGTCAAAAATTTACTTAATCACTTCTCGCAATCCATAATTTCTGGGGCATGAACAAAAAGTCATTTCAGTGCATCACATGAAGTACGCAATTGTTGCCTTGAACACTTATTGAATAAATCATAATAATTACCCATGCCTGTCAATTGTGAAATGGTTGGGATCAATATTATTATTTTTCATGGTTCATATATCGGTCACGTTTGAAATACGTTATCTACATATAAATTTCATGATGTCCAGGGAATAAAAACCAAAATGTGTTGAAAAAGTTCACTCAACAGCGTGTCTTAAACTCTTGATATTCCCTCAACCATGATAAGACCTAGATAGGACTAAAAGCTTCTCAAATTTACAGGAGAATGGACTTCGTTAAACACAAATCAATCAGTTCAAGAAGACAAGAACAAATTATATCGCAAACTTTTCTATCAGATACAACTCAAGATCTGGCAATTATCGTAATAATATATGTGGAATAAACTATCTTATAACTGACCAAATTTTGTCAATCCTTTCTTTGCAATAAGGAATTGTCATGCAGTGCATGGGACTAGTGAATCCAAAATCATCATATAAACCATGCCGTATGGGCCCATACTCAAGTAAGGTAACAAAGATGACAGTTGTCCTAACTTCTAAAATTGTACATTAACAGAACCAACAATGAAATCATTCCATTTCAAACCCACGCTTGATGCGTCTTTTATTGCTGCATTGTCCCATAGTTTACTAGAAAAAATAAAAAGGAGGGGAGCTTCGAAGGCATTGTAGTGGGATTATTGGATACAAACACCTCAAGCAATTTAGCTAATTCCTAAGTTGGAATAAAATGTACAGGAGGCTAAAGGTGCTGAATCAACAAAAAAATCAAACAATACTCGAGCAAACAAGCAACAACATTATTGTTGGTCTTATTCTAATATTCAATAAAACTTTTGAATGTTACCATTTTAAAACTATTTGCTACTTATTCTAATATTTAATAAAATTTTTGAATTAATTATTAATTAGATTTGTTTTTTATCCAAATTCTTTTAATTTTGCACGGTTGCATAAAAATAAAATAATTTATCATTGTACGCTTCTGAATTAGATTATGTGTTATAATCATTTATGCTGGAATAAAAATTTGTAGCATGAAATGAATGAGTAAATAAAAATTTATCAATCATTTTTTATTATGTTAAAATACATGATCTTTACACTTGTTACAAAAATTATAATTTTCATTCTCCAATACAAAGCATGAAGTAATGAATTGTCGCAAGTTAAGCCAACATAGAATCGCCCGATTCCAAACACATGCTTTGTGCATCTTTTCTAAGTGATTTGCATCATAATTATCTGCTTAAAAAGAACCGAAAGAGATGGGATGGAGATGTATCATACCTAAATAGCTCAATGCAAATTCATGAATTACAAATCAGTAAATCCCTTCAGGTGGACTATCCTTCTAGGTGAATGTATTTACGGATTTGCAAGAAACACTTATTACTTTGTAATCGGGATCCAATCAATGAACAATCCCATGCTTAAGTTTACAGATACTACCCTTAGCACACATACCGTCAGAATTTTTTATTGCATCATCTCCTCCATCATCTAAGGGGGTGAATATTGGAATAACTGGTCCAGCAGCCCCTACCATTCTGATAGAAAAAATCCTCCTGATGAATTAATCTGTCAATGCCTGTAGAAACCAACACAATGCAAGTTCTCTCCATTTATTGAATATTAACTAAACATGCTGAGCTTGAGTTAAATGTTCTGATAATGAAAGAAGGCCGCAGCCAATGATACTGATCGCAAGCGAGAAAAAGGACTAAATTTTTGCAATTAAAAAGTTTCAAGAAAAACATTATAGTATAGTAAATAGCCAAATCTAATTTGCCAATGTCATTTTTAAGAAATTCTAAAAAAAGTAATTGTTAACTTTTGAGAATTGAGCTTGATAATTTCATTGATAAGAAAAGGGATATAAATACACATTACAAGACTCAAATAAAAGGAAAGACCAAATATAGGAAAGACAAAAATTCAGAAATAGACCACATAGAAAATACATAAATATGAAAATGTAAGTGAATAAAGAATAATAATAACTACAGCGGAAATAATAATTCTAATACTTTCCCTCAAGTTGAAGCATAGATGTCCATCATGTTCAACTTGAAGTCATCAAACAACAACCGAGGAAGATTCTTGGCAAAAATATCTACTAATTGACGACTGGATAGGACAAATGAAACACAAATCTCACCTGAATCGTGTTTCTCATTAATGAAGTGTCGGTCAATTTCTACATTCTTGGTGCGATCATGTTGGACCGTACTATGAGTAATGCTAATGGTGACTTTATTATCACAGAACAGCTGCAGAGAAGCAGAGACCGGCACATGTAATTTACAGGGCATGATATGTAACCAGAGAGCTTCACAGATTCCCGAGAACATGGAGCAAAACTCGACTTCAGCACTGCTCCGGGCCACGACCGAATGTTTTTTGCTTTTCTATGCGACAAAATTTTCCCATACAAATGAGCTATACCCGAAGTTAATCACCGATCATGAAAGGATCCAACCTAATCAGTGTCCATAAAAACAGCAATAGAACAGGAGGTGTGGCACGAGAAAAACAAACCTGAAACTGGTGTGCCTTTTAAGTAGTGAAAGATCCTATGGACAGCTTGGAGATGGTGCTTATAAGGATCGTGCATGAATTAGCTCACAATACCAACCGCGTGGCAGATGTTGGGGCAAGTATGGGCGAGATAAATGAGTTTTCCCACAAGATGTTGGTAGTGGCTCTTATTCACTGGAACCGCATTAAGAATAACAGATAATTTTTCATAAGGATCTATTGGGACAATCACTTGTTTGCAAAGAAGAAGGTTATTCTCTAACAATAAATCAAGCACATATTTGCGCTCAGATAGGCAAATGCCCCAAGATGACCGAGCAACTTCCACGCTTAAAAAGTATTGGACCAACCCCAAGTGCTCCATTTCAAAGGAAGTAGCAAGAATATCTTTCAAATACTCCAATGTTGGTAGATTTTCACCTGTGAGCACAATATCGCCAACATAGACGATAAGGATTGCAATTTGGCCACTGGAGAAATGTTTAAAAAATATATTATGATCTGATTGGGTCAAAGAAAATTCATAGCACATTACCACCTTTATGAATTTACCCAACCAAGCCCTTGGGGATTGCTTCAGTCCGAAAAAGAACTTCCGTAATCAGCAAATTTTTCCTCAGGAGAAAGTATAGTCGAAGCCTGGAGGGAGGCACAATTACACCTCCCCTATGAGAACCTCATTTAGTAAAGCATTCTTGACATCAAGCTGGAGCAAGGGCCAGTCCAAATTCATAGCAAGGGATAGCATAACACGAATGGTGTTTAATTTAGCAACCGGAGCATATGTTTCCTTATAGTCAACTCCATATGTTTGTGAGCAGCTTTTGGAGACCAACCGTGCCTTGTAGCTTCAAAGGATCCATCGAAATTAAATTTTCTTATCCGGAGGAAGATCCACAACATCCCACGTATGATTCCATTGAAGGGCATTCATCTTATCAATGAATGTAGGTTGTCAGGAAGGGTCTGCTAATGTGGCCTCAATAGCGGATGGGAGATGATGATCCTTCAGCGCAATAGCAAACGCTTTGTAGGTTGGCGATACATTGTGGAAAAAAAAATATTGTTTCATGGAGTAAAAAGAGTTTACCTAATTACAAACCTCAATAGCAAACTACTTCGAGAAGGAGTCAGTTTTCTCTCTTGACTACCCATTATGTTGAGGCGTGGTCGTACACGAGCTATGGTGGGGGATGTCCTTACCAAGAATTCACTTTAGATAGAGTTAAAAAATTCACGGTCATTGTCGGTTCTACGAACTTGAATTGACGTTTTGAATTGGGTCAAAATGAAGAAGTGAAAGTATTTGAAGGTGACAGAAGTCTCTAGTTTACGCTTTAAGATATAGACCCACGTCATTCAAGTGTGATCATCAATCAAGGTAAGAAATCACCATTTATTAGTATAGCTGGGAGTGCAGGAGAGACCCCATAAGTCACTGTGAAAAAGTGAAAAAGAAACATAAGGTGTGTAAGAGTGGGGAGGATACGGAATGTGATGATGTTTAGCTATTTGACAAATCTCACATTTAAAGCTAGCAAGATTTTTATTAGTAAATATTGACGAATATAATTTTTTTAAATATTGAAAATTAGAATGATCCAAACGATAATGCAATAACATAATAGGACATTCAGTGAATCAAAGAAAGTGTAACTACTGGAAAAAGTGTCCTTTTCTATGTTTTTCTTCTTGGAAAATATAGAGACCGGCTACCCGCTTAGCAATTCCAATCATTCTCCCCTAAAGACAGTCTTGAAAGACAAACATCAGGAGAAAATGAGCAATGCAGTCAATGTTATGTGTCAACTTACTCACAGATAAAAAATTTCACTTCAACAGATGTACGTATAACACAAATTCCAAAGTTAGACCTGCTATTAATACAACCGATCATTTACCAGAAATAGAATTATAGGAATCATCTGCAATCTTAACTGTATATTTCGCAAAACATGGATAATATGTCGAGAAAACTTGAGAGCATCCAGTCATGTGTCCATGACACCTGAATTAATAATTTATGGACTATAAGAGACAAAAAAGTGAGTCACAGGAATGGTAACTTGATGGACGTGAAAGGTCGACGGGTCAAAAGATACCTGATTGGATCTAAGCATCTTAATTAATTGCTTTATCTGACTCTTAAGAAAGTCGGGTGATTCCGGAGTGTTCCGAGTGGGAGTCGATTGTACTGTAGCAGATTCAAATGTCGTATTGAGACCCTTGGCAGAGAAGGATTTGGCAGAAGGTTGGTAATGTCGGTTTCCCGTAGAGTTTCCAACACTTCTCATAAGTATGGTTGGGTTTGTGACAGCAATCACAAGTGCGGT